CAAAACATCATAGACATGTAACTGGCTGCCTCATGAAATGCCTGGAGTGGTCTGAAATGAACTGACAACCCGTCCACGAAGGAGCCATTTCATGTTGAGAGGTTCAAAATAAGCCGCAGTAGCAGTTATTCAATTCAGCCTCAGAAGCAGACTTTTTATACCTACCTTCAAGAATACCCAGCTGTGATGACCTGACATGACCAGGAATATCTAGCCTGTATGTCAGGCACAACTCCTGCAAAAGCTGTTGAGAAAAAACATAGAACATTTCATCAGGTAGAACTGTGACATTCAAAATCATCCTAATAATTTCCCTTTTATACAAAGTTGATAAATTCAAATTCGAAAGAGAGAAAAATAGAACAAACACAAAGAAAATTTTTTTGCTGCATCAGAACTTATTTGCCAAGAGACTCAAATAGCTTATTTCCCCACCTGAATATAAAAGCCACTGGCAGCTTCAAGAAATAAGGTCAAAACAGCCTGGACCTCCAATTTTTTGGAGCCCTAGAATTCAACATGAAATTATGAATTAAAATCAAATGGATCAAGCAATTTTATCAGCTATGATCTTATTATGAGTTCTCCCCTGTTATTGCTATACATTTCACATAAAATAACGCGAGAGAGTTTGATGTTGTGTCAAGGGAACATCATTTAACTGATAAGCATTCTACACCCATTAATAGCTGTGAATGTTTGAGCACTGTGGCAGGTTGTCAAAATTAGCCGCCAATCTGGAGCATTTCACCATCTACTCTGAAAAATGCACTGGCCATTCCAATGTTTTGTGGCTCAATTTTCAGCATAAAAGCATGTAATTGTGCTGCCTACTTTATATTTCAGTCCAGTTACTCAAAATCTCTTCGACAACCCTGACTGAGGGGATGTCTTAAGTGTTAGGAAAATTCATATTGTAGATTAAAGGACATGAAAGCCATCAAATTTTTTTTTAAATCTTGATGTAGCAGTGTTCTAGAAATATTTGCAACATTTTTAGTGTTCTGAGTTTGAAATTCTCCTGTTACAGTTGACTCTTGCCCTGTGAACACCTTGCTATAATGGACACCCACCACTGAGGACAAGAGCCAGCCCTTCAGTGAAATGTAAATGTATAAAGAAATGACTTAAATAACTCCTGTTATTGGGGGCTCTCACTATTTTGGAAATGGGGGTACTTTCATGCCCCCTAACACAACATTTCACTTGTTGTCTTCTCTCATTAAGGAGGACACTTCATCCAAAATCCTGACTCACATAATATAACACAACATTATGATAAAGGAAAATAAAGAAACCACTCTTCAATTGGGTGCAAAAAAAAGAATTTCCTGCTTGGAGCCAGATTTTTTTCCAGTTTGTGAAGGCCACATTATATACTTTATGTTTGCATAGTTACACATGATTTCATGTGTTTAGAGACAAAATTTTTTTTTCTCTTGTACCCTACTATTACAGACTCTCACTATTACAGACACTAAATCTCCCCCAAGACTGTCTGCAATAACAAGAGCCAACTGTAAAGGGCTAACTGATATATAATACCATTAATATGTTAAGCAATCACTTCCCAGGGTTAGAAAGTTAAATACTATAGTTACCAGTACCTTCCTTTCCTTTGTTTGATGTCTTAAAAAGTCAATCTGGCTTTTAAAAGCACTGTTCCACCTAAAATTTCAAGGAAAATATAAGTTATTTTAGTTTAAATCATTAGTGCACAAAATCAATGTAGCTTGACACAATCAGTAACAACTCCTGAGAAACACAAAACTGTCAGACAGTCTTAGTTGTTGATTGGCTCTCATAGATAAGCAATTAGTTATAAAAATGATTCATTTTTTAATTATTTTGAATTTGCTATTAATGCTGGCATTTTGACAACATGAAAGTAATATCAGGTATACTAATTTAACAAATAACTTACAAGTCTTGTTCCACCTTCTTGTCAAGGGCAGACTCTAAGTCTGTTAGCAGGATACTTTTGTACAAATCTTGTAGTCTGGCAAAAAAAAAAAAACAGACCATCTAATGAAATGTTCATGGTAATTAGGAATTTTCTTTCACTCTTTTTAAAAATACTTTTATGATTGGCAAAATTTCTGCATTTATAAGATAAAAATGAATTCCAAATGTCTGGTCTCCCTAAGTTGTACCCAATGTGTGATATGAATAACTTTTGGGACCACTGGAATTTTTCAGGGCCACAGAGATTTAAAAAAAAAAAAAATTCAAAAATCAAGGAAAAAAATCAATCTTAAGATATTTCTGAAGAAAGGGAAGAGTGTCTCTAGTCAGTTGGTCAATCATTCAATGAATTAAGCATCAGTCCTTGATACTTCATTTTTGACATCTTACCTTTGGGAGCAGTTGGTTTATTCCACACATTAATATGTGTATATTAATTACACCACCAATATATACAGTAAGTAATGAAAACTGGCCTACTCACAGGTAGATTTGTGAATTCAAAATATTTCCATCCAAAAAAAAGCCATAACGGTTGAGTAAATATTTTTTAAGCAGCACATTACATTGCCAGGTCCAGTAACAAAATATTCATTGTAGCTTAGGTCAAAAATTGTTTTTAAATCTACCTCTGCCTAGACTGCCATCCTTCGCTGCCAACAGCAAAATCTTCAACACTGCCTAAAGAAAATTAATGTCCTTACTGAGTAAGTCATATAAGTTGGCTGTCTTTCATATATGTCATTATTAATTAATGCATGATGAAAACTGTTATAGTATCTTTTACTAAATGACAGTTACCTATGCACTCAACACTGGAAACCTCTAGTAGGGGGAAATACAGGGCATTATCCACAAAGAATATGAGTACACCAGGATACAACCCAGCCTAAAGAGGAAATACTTCTGCAAAAGTCCACACCCCATGAAATAATTCCTCACATGAAGGAGGTGGCAAAGAAGAAATTAAAGAATTCCTTGAGAACTCAAACAGCTGACAGACATATTCAAGCTAAGTGCATAACCCAACTACATACTAAACTATTGTTTTCTTGACTAGAAGATGGAAAAATTATCACTTTGTTTTTTAATAAGAGCTGGTTAACACATCGAATCATTGTTTCCTTTCCTCCTTGTTTTCGATCGGTATCATCATCCTCTTTGAGTCGAGAAAGAAACTCATAGACACCTCAGTAGGACTAATTAATATAAAACCAAAAGATATCGAGTTTGTTTCGAGCCTTAAGATACTCAAACTCACAAACAAATAAAGAGAACGAGGAAACACTTGAACATTTCCTCCAGGAAATAGATTTCTCATATTTTAAAAGCCGTAACGCAGCCTCTTGAAAATAAAAGCTTTTCAGCTCTAATTGTAAACAAAAAAGAAAAACAAATGAAAAAAAAATTGCAACTGTTTTCCGCATATACAAAACTTACTTTTCAAAGCGGCTTTCAATGTTTCCGCTTGCCTGTTGAAAATAAAAGGAGTAGAATGAAACAATGGATAATTAAGCATAATGTTCATAAGTATTATTTTACAAAATTCAAAATGAAGAATTGAAAATTTTTACCGTAAAACTTGGGCAACCGACCCAAGGATCGGCGCCATGTTCAGATCATCATTCCGCTGGACAGAGTAACTTCACCGCGGTCTCGCCTTTAAAATTTCACACCTGTCCCCTTTCCCAGGAGTCTTTTTGTTTTTTAATTGCATTCATTTTGAAATCACTAGTGATCCTTGAAATCTGATTGGTTCTCATTGGTGCGATTTATTTACGATTCGCATCATTTTTTGCTCCAAATCACATCTTTTTCCCAGCCAGTGAGAAAGTTTTACCAAAATAAATAGCCAATCGCTCGTTCAAGGAAACCACGCGATTTGCAGGAAAATGAAAAAAAACAACCTGCGCAACTTTGCAACTTTCTACAATCCTGCTCACTATTGGATCACAAAACCTTTGTAAAGACTAAAAACTCCGTCATCTGAGCGACTGAATTTTTCAATTTTAAAATGGATGTAATGAAGTGGTAATTGAACACCGTGTCGTGCAATCACACTTTTGATTTCAAATCATGCATTATTATGATTTCAGATTTAATAATACGAATGCAAAAATTTCATCATGCTTATTGGCTGAGAACACGTCAATTAATTCCAAACAGAGCAGAAAGTTGAAATTGAGTGCAGAAAGTTGAAATTAAATTTATTGACAGGTAAGTTGCGAAAGCATAACAAAACAAAATGGCAGAAAAATGAGGGGATAGAAACAACGTTTTAACCCAGAGTTTAAGGGAGAAAGCTAGAAACAAAAACGCCCAGCAAAGAGAATCCAACTGGCTAGACGTTTGGCCTCCAAAGTCCCGAATTTTTTCCTTAATCACTATAATTTTTTGTCTTTTAAGCCGTCACCTCTATTCAGCTGCCGCGGTCACCCTTAACTAAGTCCCAACAGCTTTTTTTTTATTGTCCTCCGCCTGTATTGAACAGTCTCTGAAAGCGGGACTAATCAAGCAAAACTAAGAATAATCTTTCAAGTAATTTTTGATCCATCTATCTCTCCCAAAATCAAAGTAAGTAGTGCTATTTGCAAGCGAGATTCTGTCAAAATGTGGTCAATTATGGCATAATATGGCAATGTTTATCGTTTTTTTTAAATACCCCTAATCTGTGGAACCTGTGTATAACGGTTAACCTATATTAAGCAGTCACCCCG